GTAGACTCGTCCCATCCTTCGTAGCTCTAATACTTCTGCCATTTCGAAGGAGTACAGAATAAAGTGATACTCGGGAAATCGAGCTGGTGGGACACGGATCGAGGCGCGACGCCAGTCAATATGATCTGGGAAGGTGAAGGTTAAACTTTTGCCTTTGGTCATACTACGAAACGCTGACCTTGGAATGGAAGCACGATATCCAGAGATGGTACTACAGGAATGCATCCTAACCGTAACGAGTTCCAGAAAAGGTAAGTATAATTGCTACGGCTCAAGAAGATACAAAAGTTCGAGCTTTGAGTGGGTCTGCTTTGAGTGGGTCTTCCTGAAGTAACGAAAACAAGTGAAGCGAGTTTCTCTTTCGAGCGTTTGTTCACCTAATTCAGTAACAGATTCACATGACGCACTATCCGAAACGTCAGAGCAGTTCAAAATTTTGACGCTGTCTCCTGAAGACACCGCTGAGGCACTCAAACGAGAAAGATCACTTGGTAAAAGCGGGTGCAGGTCTCTAGCATCGGATGACACGTAGGTGAAGAGAAAAAACTGTAACGACAAGTCTCAAAACTTCTTGAAAAAGCGCTAATGGGACTATCGCCTAAAAAAATCATAACGTTTCTTTCCGCTCAATCTCGAGCAAGAAAGATTGCCTAGATTCAAAGATAGATTGCTGTATCACTTAGTTGTCAACAGTAAATTCATACAAAAACACGAAAATAAATACGAAAGAGACGGAAAGTCGGCAGACAAACAGGAAGTATAAAATACACTTACCTTTTTAGAGTAGGGCAGTAAGCTAGGCATATCCTCTCATGCAAAAGCACTATACTGAAGTACATTTAGAAATACATTATAATCCATTAACCTACAACTGAATGTTTCACATATCGCGTGACTGAAATGAGCAAGAAACAAAAGAAATATAGAGTAAGATGCAAGGGCTGAACGTGACTCACCTAGGAATGAGCTTGTCAAACCATTGCACTACTATGGCAGAGTCTTCTGTGATAAATGGGTCTCCAAAATTCATAACAACTGTATTTCGGCCAGAGTTTGGAAGTTTTGCAAACATTTCAGATGAACCGTTGGTGAGATAAATCTAAAAGCTGAGCAAAATCATTGCCAAAGCACGGTGAAGCAAACTTTTGAAGATCTTGCAACGTACTGTTAGACATGCGCTGGCAGCCTCGTTGACAATAGTTCCCAATGAGGAAAGCTCATTTTTGAAATCGATCATCATGGGAGACAAAACGGTAAAATTAGATATGTACTTGGGCATAAAGGTTGTAATAGAACATCGACTAAAACTGAAAATCATCCGAGAGCGGATAGCAATAAGACAACAGAACTGACCTGAAATCTATGGCAGTCTCCAGTATTAGTTGTGATGAAAGCTGACTTAATAGCTAACTTACTCATGTGAATGTCAGATTGCATGAAACAAAGAAGATCCCTCTAATTATGGAAAACCAAGCTGTAAGCGCCATTCCATTTCTGGGAGGGATCAAGAAACAGACTGTAGATTTGTCGTCCCATTTCCCTAAAAGGTCTTGGTGTCTGAAAGAAAGGTCTCATATAAGGAAACCGACGAAAAGAAGTGCAAGTTCAGAAACAATAAAAGGCATCCAAATTATTTAGCTTGCCGCCTTTCTGCATCGTTTAACGCATTAACGCAGAAAGGCGGCAAGATGAATTTGCATGCTACCGTAATCCGATATTTTGGAAGCCGCACGATGGATGGTAGTTAGTAGAAAAAGCGCTATATCTTATTCTGTGCGGGAAAGTTTTGGATGAAAATCGTACTATAGAGAGAAGAAGGCTGAGCGGTAGCAACGACATTAAAATCGTAGACATTCAACGGCTTTAAGGGTAAGTTAATGGGGTGCGGCACCCCCCCCCCCCCCCTTAAAAGCTGCGGCAGCCGCAGCTTTTGAGGGGGGGGGGGGTGCCGCACCCCATTAACTATATCAAAAAGGCATTTTTAGTAAACATTATTTATATGAATCGATAGCCTAAACCTCGTAGATTCCATTCCATAGGGATGTTTTGAGCTCAATTCGTCTTCTTAGCTCTGAGTAATATTTGGTGAAAGCACAGTCATTGAAAGCGAAGAATGGGAAAATGAGATTTTGTTTGGCTTCTAATTCCACAGTTTGGAGGTCTTTTGAGGCGCAATTTCTGAGATGGACAAAGAAGGAGTAGTGCTTTGTCTTGAGTGCAAAAACGGATAGCTAATTCAGTTTAGAAACAAAGTTGATTATCTTTGAAAATGACCATTTCACTTGGGTGACCCAATACTTGGAAACCTCAGAATTCGCTGAAACTTGCCCATAGGGGTTATTTGACATGCTGAATACGAAAATGATGCTGTCATGCTTTTAGGGCTTTCTTATTATGCTTAATTTATGTATAATGGTAGGCTAAACCATCAATGTGCTAGTGTTTGGCATAATGGGCCTATCTGACATTGTTTCGAATATTATGTTAATGCTTACCCAGTACAGCCTCGATAACGACCCCCCCCCTCCCTGACCTTTCAATACGACCCCCCAGGTGTGGCGTGCCGCACTCCCGCTTTACTCTGCTGGTAACGATGTCGATCCACAGCACATTTTTTACAATTAACTTGCTAATTAATTGATTAACCACCTCGCTCTTATTAGGTCGTCCCGAAATTTTTTGCGCACGATATTCAAAAATTCATAACTTCTGATTTTTCCGGTGGATTTGACTGCTTTCACTTTTATGTGAAAGGGTAAGTCATGCTCTCTATAATGGCATCTCAGCTGCTTAGTAATGGTCATCTGTTGCATAGATAGGAGCGATAGAAGAAAAATGGTCAAAGTTTGAATTTTCTGTGTAGGGTCATAAATCGGAGACTTACAACAAAAAATCGGAGCAGTCAGTATTGTAGGTTCTTTCACCAGCTCTTTCTAACAGTGCAAAGTTTGCGCCGATTGAGCGTTTCTATGGAAAGTTATCATTACCTTGAAAAATGCCAAAATAAACCAAATTCGCCCTTTTGTATTGCTGGCTCGAAAATCATAACTTTTCATAGAGACGCTCAATCAGCGCAAACTTTGCACTGTTAGAAAGAGCTGGTGAAGGAACCTACAATACTGACTGCTTCGATTTTTGTTGCAAGTCTCCGATTTTTCATGACCCTACACAGAAAATTCAAATTTTGACCAATTTTCTTCTATCGCTCCTATCTGTGCAACAGATGATCATTAATAAGCAGATAAGATGTCATTATAAAAAACATGACTTACTATTTCATACGAAAATAGAAGCAGTCAAATCGGTTAAAAAGATCAGAAGTTATGAATTTTTGAAAATCGTGCGCAAAAAATTTCGGGACGACGACCTATACGATGTGTTGGCTTTTATCGGTCACCGGAGCAAGTGCTTTTTAGAGCCGGGAAGCAGAGGAGCCCTAACATGCTGTATACCTTTCGAAAGCTGAGATCATGGAGAATCGACATAGATCGTCGACTTTTTTTAGGTCTTTTGTGCCGCGAGATATGAGGGATTTTATGTACTTCAAAAATCAACTGATTTTGTGTCCTCACTTTCTGCTCTCCATATGAATGCTACGAGAAAATCGACGGTCTACGTTTGTTAATGAAGACTTGCTCTATCACACAGATAAATAATCAGCAGTGATTAGGTCTTTGTTTGGCAGAAATCTGGTTTTGAAAATGGAGATGTTTTCAGATAAAATGCGGTGTATCTCTCGGTAGAGGGGGGCTAGAAAGAAGTCGACGGTCTAGGTCAAATCCCCTTTTCCTGAGCCTTCGAATGGTATATAGGTTGCTGGGCGAAAAAACTAACCAGTTTTCAAAAATGGGGTGGAGTTATTTACTATTAGCTTGCTCCACCCAGCTCCATCAATGTATTGGCTTTTATCGGTCACCGGAGCAAATGATTTTTAGAGCCGGAGAGCAAAAAAGCCCTAACATGCTGTATACCATTCGAAAGCTGAAAGTTCAGGGAAATTTTGCACATTCTGTGAGCGGTATTGTGATCTTGAGCAGAATTTTAGAACAAATTCGATAAGAGTGTCTCTATACCATACTCACAGTATACTTTCTATGTGTCACCATCGACAAAAATGGCAATACTGTCTTCAGCACACTGAACAATTCAACCAAACAAAAATCCGCAAAATTGAGCGAGAACTTACTGTCTAGCGTTTACCTATCATATCCCGCCAAGTTGTGGCACTCCCATATACTAGATGATGCGCCTCGCCGAGCTGAATCGAACGGTGTCCTCGGATTTAGAATTCGTCCATTCTGAAGCGAATATGGCGATGCGACGCGGATTCCGACGGACTCTAGTGATGTCCGGCGCACTCCTGGAGTGTGGCGCACTCTGCCGCACTCCGGCGGACACCAGTGCAGTGCGGCGCACTCTAGTGGACTGCATCGCATTCCGGCGCACTGCAGCGCACTCCGGCGGAGTGCACCGCAGTCCGGCGACTTTTTTGACGAATTATGAGCGGTATTGTATGCTTACCTTACGATCACGGAGTCTTTGCAGGTGTGATCGTCTCAATTTCCAAAACGACCTAAGCCTTCCAAATGTACAAAAATATACTAGTTAGAAAACACAAAAATTCGTTTTTCTCAGGTTCATACATATCATTGACCCGACATTTTTTGTAGCTCTTAAATATGAACTGACCATGCAATCAACGCTTCATACAGGGTTAGTGAAAATTACTGCAAAAAAAAGTTAGTCGTAATTTTTTGCTTAGCGTTAGTTACTCAACTGAGGAGTACTAAAGAGTTCGGTCTTCAATCTTATCATAACTCACTCGATCAGGTGGAGCCCCGCATTTTCAACATATAGATTCGTAGTAGTTTGAAAAAGAGTTAGATTTTCATTCGTAATATTTGTTACATTCCCCTTATTGGCTGAATCTAAGAAGCACCTCCTTAGTTTTTGTGTGGATGGCTTAGGGGCGTGAACCTAGCGTTGTTTGCATGTAAAGCGTTGTTTCAGTATCGAAGGTGTCTTAGCTGAGAACTGGTGGCGGCAAAATGAATGTCTTTGAGGCAAACCCAAAGTGGCTTCTTGTTGCTGTATTTTACGCAGTGGTTAGCTTTTCAGGCTATTTTTATTTGTACTATAGATTTCACAATTCGGATCAACGACAGCATGAACTGCACATTCAGAAGTGGGACAGAGAGTTTTAACAGCATCAAGGAGTTTACAATGTCACCACTGAACAAGAGTGCTTGAGCAAATGCTTCGCTGATCCGGAATGCACTTTTTTGACTTATTACGAGGTATTTTTGAGAACAAATGAGGCAAGTGATTTTTACAGCAAACAAATAATTAAAAAGGAAAGAATTACCCTACTAAGCATGCAAACTTTCCTAAGGTATATGTTGATGCGAACAATTGAGAAATTTCGCCAATGCCATATCTACAAGTTTACGAGGATTTCTTTACAGGGTAGATGCGACGTTTTTGAAGATGGTGATGACATTCAAGATGTGGCGTCTGTCAGCAAAGCTTTCTCATATTTATTTGAAGAGCAGGAAACATCTTGCCCGACTGCAGTTGTATCAAGACCGCAAACCTCTACCACTGAGCCAACAACGGCACCAAAGTCCCTCAAATACCCGTGTAACGACTATCCCAAGAACTATGACGGTCATAGGATTTTTACGAAGAAGAACTTGCTTGAAACGCCGGACCAACTATTCGTTTGCTCGTATGTTTTGCAAAGATTTTGCAGAATTGACTCAAAAATTTTCTAAATTTAGCTTTGGATTCGTGTCTAAGAACTGCAGTTGCACTTTGAAAGATTTGACTTTTTATAGAGCAGGTGAGGTCCTTTCCGGGTGTGGTGCGGAAGGCAGCGATCCCGAATTTTGTGCCTCTCAAAAACTCATGGGTACTAAAGTGATACGGCCGAAAACTAGGATGGGGGGAGGGAACAGATACGAGGCTCTGAGTAAAATTTAGCAAAAGCCAGCGACAGCTTTACTTGCTTGCACTTTGCGCGGATTGTCGCCTTTCGCGGGCTCCCGTCTTTCCTAACCTGTATTCTTCGTCATTACTATTTGTTCGAATTCAAGACGACAAGTCATTCGAGGACCCATTCATTATGCGCCAAGCCGTCAGAGACTATCACCCGAATTCCTTCAAAACCGTTTGTGCTGATTACAATGTGAATGCACCGAACGCTGTTGCAGAATACAGATGCAAAGGAACCGGTCAATACGTCTATGTGATAGACACAGAATTGGGACCCAATCCCGAGTTTCCTAATTTTGGTGGTTTGGAAAGGGTCGACACACCCATATTCTACGTACACCATGCAGATAAATGTCGCTCCCCTTGAGTCAAGCGATAATGCTGCTTCTGTTATAGTGCAGCTTCGTAATGTAACTTCTTGTGTTTGCCTTGGTTGCAGTAGCAGTTGTTCTTAGAGCATGTGACATCTTATTCTTGCCAATATTCGTAGTAATGAATATTGCTAGACATTGCCAAAGCAGTTTAACAACACATGCATACATTCATCCAATAAATTTCTGGCTTTTCTTCTTTCAATCTGATTTATCCCACTTTGCTCGAATGTGAGACCGACTAAGAATGTGGAAGTGTAAATGATGAGATACGATACGATATTTCAGACACTAGGACAAATTATGGAAATTGATAATTGCAATGGAAATCATCAATCGCACTGAATGCGCGCTCTATTCCTTGGGAGCATCAGTTAGTGTCAGTGCCGCTCGCCAACGATGTAGGTGACCATACCTCGCGCGATTATAGTTGCGACGCCATCTGGCAACACTCCAATCGTCCAAAACTCATCGTGCTCGCATATAAAATATGCAGAGGATAAGGCATTTTATCCATCTACAAAGTTGTACAAACTAGCAGAGGTGGGCCACTGTAGGATTCAAAGAAATCCGGAAGATCAGATTGCCTAACAAATGATAGCGCTTGAGGTATGGTCAAGGTTTAGAACGTTTATTTGGTAATTAATGCACATCATGATAATCAACAATTTTTACTTCCCACAAATTCCAAGGCGACCAAGATGTCGTGCACCTACAACGTTGAACTGGCGCTGAAGAAAAAAAATTTTTTTCCACACAGCATTGCGTTTCGTGCGTATGCCAGAATAGCGACCCTACAGGCCGTATAAGTGGGTAAAGGCAGGTACATTAGTATATAAAGGCTGCTGCATGACCAAGGCGCAATGGCGATAGCAGTTGAGCGTGCGCGAATGCGACGCGCGCGTATCCTCACCGTTGTAGATCCCGGATCTCGTGCGCTCTGCGGCTAATAAAGCAGCGTTCACGCCCTTCGTCATGCAGCAGCCTATACTTACAAGGGAACCGTGTCGAGTCGAAGTGGCCTTTCCAGATGATACCCATACTGCTTTGAAGAGTATTAAGCGATGATTCCAAATCTGCCTTCCAAATCTGCCAAGCGCCTCTGGACGCCGAGTTATGACCGTAAAAATGAGTGCAGAATTTAGGTAAAATTGATTGTTACAATCTTTCCAGCGCTCAGATAAAGCAATGTTAAGTATTAGCATATTAAATAAAATGTATCCATTGCATAAACAGCTTTGATACTTGACACTGGACCATTTGAGCAAATTTGGACGATTTTGCTTCAGTCGTTCAATTTTTTGACCTGAACAACGAGCACAACTCGGCGTCTAGAGGCGCTTGGCAGATTTGGAAAGCAGATTTGGAATCATCGCTTAATACTCTTCAAAGCAGTGTGGGTCTCATCTGGAAAGGCCACTTCGATTCGACACGGTTCCCTTGTTAGTTGGGTACGCTTTGCTGAATAAAAAACTGAGCAGGGAAGGTAGACACAAAAATATGTTAACTGATTTTTTTCTTCCGAAATATCACAGCCAAAATACTATAATTTGGTACAGCTTGCTTTTTTGTTCTCAATCACAAATTACACAATCCCTTCCTTAACAAAGCTGACTGAATCAGCTTGCATGCTAAGACTTCCCAGGAGCAAATGCATTTTCTGCGGTGTTTTTTTTCGAGATTTTTTGATGAAATTTTCTACCGAATTTTACAAAAATTGTGTGGAAAATTCCTTTTTGCTCCAAAAGGTATTCAACCATAAACAATGTCTACCTTAGCTCTACCAGCGAGTCCACAGCTTGCGGAAGCTTTCTTCTTTCAAGAGTAAAGGCATTTTCTGTGGAAAGAATTTAGTTTGCACCAACTTTCACCGAGATTCATGGAAACAAACAGCAGAGCTTTTGGTTTGTATTCTACTTTGTATTTGCTGTTCGTGAGGTCTTTCAAGATCGAGATTTCCACAGAACTTTACTGTTCTGAAGGAAAACAAAGCTTTTTTGGCCTTTAAAAGTGCTCAGCCACAAAGAGAGTCTGCCTCATCAATAACAATGAAACTACAGCTTGCATGCTGGGTCTCTCCGGGAACAAATGCATTTTGTAGAGTAAAGTCTTGTAAAATTGAAATGTTCACCAAATTTCATGGTCTTGGAAACGAAGCTCTCTAGAGGGAGACTAAAGCCTGCTCATTTGTTGGTTTTCTGAAGAATACTGAGACTATGTAATTGCCTCAAACATCAATTGGAAAGTACCTGTTTCAACGGCTTGAATTCGGAGAAAGTTGGTAATGTTGTACCGAGAATTCTATACATGGCTCTGTGAAAATCAAAGCTGAAAATGCAGATTGAAGGTGCTGTCATCTGATGATCTCTATCAAACCACTCTCACAATCAATAACGATGATGAGTCACTTCCACAGTAATCTGCCATAGCGAGCGGTCGCTTTTTCTTTCGCTCTCTATCCTAGCCTCTCTATCTCGAATCTTTCTTTATCCATGGTGGTGTTTTTCTCCTATCAATCATGAGTCTTATCTACTCTCTATTCTCTTGCTCTTTATAGTAAATCAGCTTCAGCCCTCAGTCTGTGAAACTTCTTTGGGGGGTTTTCACTCCGTGTTTCTGATTGTCATCGTATCAACATCTCATTGATTTTTGATATCTTTCTGGTCATCGATTGAGATACTCTTCTTTCTCTTGCCTCTCTATCGTAAATTCGCGACAGCCCTCAATTTTTGAAACTTTGTTTGGGGGATTTCATTTCTGTGCGCTTCTCGTCGTCATCGTGTCAACTTTTTTTCGATTTTTGATATCTTTCTGGGTCATCGGTTGATAATGCCAGCCCGCACTTGGTCATGCTCTCAGGCGACCGCGTCTCACTCTCTAGGGGTAAAGAAATCTGCTAATAGACTTAGTAGCCAAGGTGGTCACGTTGCCGAAGGCGAAGTCGGGTGACGTGAACTACAATGATCTCTCTGCGAATGAGATCATCGAGTCCATATTGGAGCGTAATGGTGATCCAGTCATAGAGTAGATGGTTTTGGCGTTGAGGAAAATCCCTAAGGATATAGAGACGTAAAAGAGGGAAAGGATCGTAGTCCTTGCAGGATTACCTGAAGCTCCGTCCGAACAGTCGCTCCCGGGTAAAAAACAACAAACAACAAAACAACAACAACAACAATAACAAACAACAACACAAACAAAGCAGAGTGTGGCCCAAGTGTTATATGTGCTCCAGATCGATGCATGGCCTAACGAGATTTAACGCATGGGCAAAATAATTGAAGGCAAGTCTCGCCTTGTCAAACTCGTGTTTCCTTCGCGTCACGTGCGGTCTCAAGCATTATCCATTTTACGTCACTCTCCTTTATCCCATGTGTATCTGCGTAAAAGCATGACCCCTGCGGAGCGCCAGCTTGATTCTGAGTTACGTCAGCAAGGGCGGGAAAAAGCCGAGGGAAAACAGTTAAAGAATGGGTAGTGTATAGGGGAGAAATCGAACATTTATCTCAATATCCTCAACGTCCCACTCAAAAGAACGCCTAGGTATGCCAGGTACCAGTGACCATTTAAATTGTTATTTAACTCAAGAAGTTTGGTAAATTAATTACACTTCTTTCATGTTTTCTTACACCATCATTGCCCAGACGTTCTTTTAATAACGGAATCATGGCTAAGCCCTAAAGTGCTAGACTCTGAGATTGTTATTGATATTCCATTCGATATATCGGTCAGGGCAAAAGAAGAAGTGGAGTTTGTTGTCTAACGAAATGATTTGCTTGTGCAACGGATAGATTGCACGCAACAAATGAAGTCAGATATTCTGTGTTTGGACATTTTTTTCTTTTCCTTCCCATTCTTCACTGAGATTTTTACTTATTTATCAACCACCTTCCTTTACTGTTGAAATTCATGAAACGTTGGCACATGTTTTACTGGACTTTTGTATACTTCCGTCTGATTTAGTCATTTTGGTGATTTCAACATAGACGTGATTTCTTCTCTGAAGACTACGCAAGATGAGTTTCCTTGGTGCTGTCGTGGGCAGTGACTTTATTCAGAATGTGTCCATTCCAACAAGAGGTAGAAGTGCCATTGATCTAGTGTTTTCTACTCCGAATACCGACTTAAATTTACAGTCCCTTTCTCCGTTCGGTACATCTGATCACAATACAATAGCTTTTGATACCAACTTCTCATCTGTGAAAAAATGTTTCCTGCCATATTCCAATTTCTACAAAGCCGATTATACAGAGATAAACAAGGCACTTCTGCTCTTAACTGGATGCATATTTTTGAATTAGGTAGGTTCGAATCAGTCCATGACCTATATTATCGTTTTTGTTTGGTCATTTGGTGTACTTGCTAAATTTGTTCCTTTTACCTTCAAAAAACTGCATCACATGCTTATCCTCAACACATCCCAAAACTTGATTGAGCAAAAATACGTCTTTTCTCTATACTCCCTGATCCTCTAACGAATCATTTGTACCAAAAAGTTTATAAAGATTTGGAATATCATCTCAAAAAGTTTTTGAAAAGTAGTGAGCTTCGTCTGCCGGGGCAACAAAGAATTGTTTCGATATCTCAGATACAGAACTAAAGGTAATACCAAACCGACATTGGTGAATATGGGATATTTTCAGGAACGACAAAGAGAAGGCTAGTTCTCTGGGAAGATATCTTACTAAGGTATTTGACAATGATAATTTTGAAAACCAGGATCTATCGAGTCTGTCTCCAAAGTTCACCTTTGTTGCTACAGCATGTGATGAGATACAAGTCAATACCTGATACTGTATATGAGTTTAAGAAGACTGAAAGCTGTTGCAACATCCACATATGATGGAATTCCTCAGATTGTTTATAGGAACTGTGCACGAACATTGTCGATTCCCCTTTCATTGATATTCTCGATGTTTCTACAATTAAGGTGCCAAAAATTGGAAGGAAGCTTTTGCTACTGCTATACCAAAAAAGGGCAACAGAACACCTTGTCAAACTATCGGCCCATAAGCACAATGCCTCCTGCGGGGGAAATCCTTGAAAAAAAATAATACGAGAAGCTTTATG